TATTAAGGCATCTGTGCTTTTCAATTCCTTGTTTTAAGAGGCCTTGTCAGTTTGATATAAAATCCAATTGTTACTGCTTGATGTTGCAATCTTCTAGTTTCATTCTGTAAGTATTACACTATTGCGTCCTACTCATGTATGCTGAATAAAATTATACAATCACTGGCTTTCACCTAGAAAGAACATGCATCATAGCGGCAGGCTGAACTACTTATTTTGCAAACACTGAAAGGACAAGCAAACATTTGGTACGGTGGGCACCAGTCCATCAAGTTATGCTCAGCATCATTTTTTTGAGGTTTTTATCCAAAACACTTATATACAACGTCCACATATAACAGAATCTTCACAGTCTCTCTCATATACTGCCTAAAATCCTTCAGCTCCTCCGTCAGTAAAGTCCCCTGGGTAGCGAGGATGTTATGTGAGCAACAGTGTAGATGCTCATGCTGCAGGTTCTTCAGCGAAGAGCTATGTAGCTGCATTTGTAGCATCAGCAGCATAAAGTAACTTCTACATAATCAGGTGATGCACAAGACCTAAAAATAAACACAAATGCTTAATTTTAACACTGAAAATGTTAGGGTTTTACAATGATGCATAATCCAAAAAGTCTGCAAGCCACCACTGTAGGAAAAACGCAGATGTGTATCATTTTTTGTTGAGCTCCTGCAATTTCTTCCTCCCAGGAGAAATAACATCAACACACAATCAAGCAGTCCCCAGAAAACAGCACTGTTAATTTGCAACCAAAGTGTTTGAGCAAAAGCCAAACTTAGGGACATTGAAACACATGAAGGATGCAGCTTCCCAGCATCCAAAGCTGGCTTAAACTGGCTAATTTTCAATTAAATTCCTGATTTTTAATTAAATTAAATTTGAATTTAATTTAATTTAATTCCCTTTCCAAAATAACCTTCCACTCTGTTTGGAAGTTAAAGCAGAGCAGGGCCATTCCTCCCAGGCAGTTTGGATGTAACCACCCTTTTTTGGGAGGTAGAAGAGTTTGATACCACAATATACTCTGAGTTAGGCTTGAAGCTAAGGATCTCCCCAGTTTCCCCAGCTAGGCACAGGGGGATGTGGCAGTGTCAGACCTGCAAGACCTGTGATCCAGGTGGTACCACCTACCTGGCTGAGGCACTAGGCCCAAGTTTTGCACAGAAAACATTTTTTTTCTCTCCTTTCTGATAACTTTGGACACTTCTGGGTAATGACAGGATGTGGATCGGGACAGTCTGTAGCCTGTGCAAGGATGCTTGAGGATGAACAGCTGGGAAAGTGCTAATCTCTTGCAGTTTGATCAAGCACATGTGAAGTAGAGATGAGACCACTCATACATATACACAGACTCAGACAATTTTTGTTTTATTGCATTCCTACTTTGCCCAGGCTGTTTGTGGGCCATCTGGAATCTTCAAACACCAAGCTTCATGGGAACCTAACCATGGCTTGCTAATCAGATAAGACAATGCTACTGGAATAGCTGCTCCATGATAAATACCTCAGAGAGGCACGGCCCCTTCCTGAGATGTGCCTGCAGCAGAAGAGCAGGATTGCATGTCTGGGGGGTCCTCTGCATTGGCTGCGACTCTTCCACTCTGCTGAGTTGGGGTATTGAACAGGATGGAGTGAAGCTGAACAAGCATAGGAAAAAAGGATTAGTGCATGGTTCAGGGTGTAAAATAAGATATCTTACCCTTCTGTGCAAGTATAGGACATAATAGCCTCCACCTACGGTTGTAACAGCTAGAAAGCTCTCTCTTTGCTTTACCTCCAAAACACCAACCACATCATTGAACTCTGCCTGGGGCTTCTGGAATATACACCTAGATCAGTAGTTTGATTTAAGGGTTTCGATCTAACAGATTGCATGCTATGTATTGCTTCCAGCTCTGGTTAAATACCCTAGTACTTTGTATCATACCAAAGACTTGCCTAGCAGAGCACTGATATCAACAGATGAATCTGATTTCTCCCCACACTAAAAACTTACTAAGAACTTTATTCTTTTCTGTATGAAAAGTTATCTATTAATAGAATGTTTATATCCCTGAAAAATAATGTTTCTTATCTGCAGACCAACAGAGATATATTTGAATATTTTCAAGTTATCGATCTCCCCAATCAGGAATTACTGTAATGATCTAAAAGTATCCTTTTCCAAAATTAAATGAATGTGCAAGCCCGCCTGCTCACCAGTCACTTACTGCACTATATTATAAGGAATTCCAGTGCACTGAGAGCAGTCATAAAGCCTATTGCCCCCTTTTATTTTTACCTTTCTGCTAAGAAAAGAATCTCTGTCTATAGAAGACTTGTATCTTGTTAAAGAGACTTCCATAAGTGGTCACAAAAAGGGATACTCCAAATAAAAGTCCTCTCTTGCAGACCAGGAAGGAAAAATACATGAATTTGGGGAGGTATTTGGGCATAGAGCAGAAAGCATCAGAGGGTCAAAATCCCCTAAGGACATTAGGGAAATACCGGAGTATTTAAAGAAAAAGTGCTCTTATCTTGAATGTTCCCACACAAGTAAATTACCAGAGACAGGCTGGGCACTCATTTACATGAGGGCTTCAGAATGAGATAAGCCTCATGTGACTTCAAAGTTATGAGTAATGGGCCCAGAAAGTAGCAGAGAGAATCTGTGGGACTGGGGGCATTTAGTCTTAAATCCTTCCACTGTGGAGAAACTGTGGCTAGCAGTAACCCCACTGCCCATGTCCCCTTGCCAACCCAGCTGCAGAGAGTGCCTGGAGAGCTGCACATGATGTGTCCTGGCAAAGCACAGGCCATGGCCAAGGCTTGACATTTTCAAGGGCCACGTTTTGGCTGCTGCCTTGGCTAGATGCCACAAACTGCCTCCATCTCCCAGTGCCCAGTGGTAGATTTCCCCCCATCACCACCCCAAGTCTTTGCCCTCTCTCTTGTCATCTGTGTTTCTACAAAGTTCAGAAGTTTGATGACCCTGAAGGGTGTGAGAGTTGCATGGATCCAGGAAACGGGGAGAAAGACATGAATGGGTAGAGTCTGATTTTGGAAAAGACAACTGTACCCTAAGAATGAGGCATGGAGATTTTGCAGGTGCTGCTCTGGAGGAGTGGGCTTCATCATGAGTCGTTGATCCCGAAAGGACAGGATACATAGGCCCAGGGAAGTTGGGTTAAACCGCAAGGAGAACAGTCCACAAAGAGAGACTGGGATCCAGGATCGTGGCTGGAGAGCAGTTTGAGTTCAAAAGGGACAGGCTGACTTAAGGCAAAAAGTATTCAGAAACTTAAATCATACATTTTAAATTGGGAAAGTGCTTTAAATGAGCTGATTGCAATTCTGAACAGCCAGCAAGGACTAAAGAGTGGGATAGGGCTGACCTGGAAAGGGGATCCTCTCTTGAGACTACACGGGGATGTTTGCAGATCCTTCTCATTTTTCCTTCATAGCATGAAATCAGATAGCAGAAATCACTGTAGTGCACAGTACTGCCTGCCTCGGCTGAGGGGTGAGGAAAGAGTGCCACGAAAGTCACCATTGCCACCCAAGATGACGTGAGCAACATGGGTGAGCAAAGAAACGGTCATCTCAGTCTCGTGCATCTTCCCTTGCAGCCTGATCCTGCACAATCCTTATCCTCCTGCACCCATAGCTCTGGGGCCTGAAAATCCGCTTGCTGAGGCAAAGTCCTTACGGACCTTGACTGCACAGCTGTCCCACAGGGTAGCCAGTCAGCCTTTCCTGATGGACTCAGACACAAGACGGGACTATGCGGAGATTTACAGCAAGCTATCACCTCCATGAAAGGCTTGGTTTATATGCTCTTTGTAACCTGCTCAGTTGTGATCCCAGACAGAAGAGCTTTCCTTAATTTATACCCCACACTCAGATGTGCTTTCTCTCATCATCAATATAAAACAGCAAATCTAATCCTTCAATAATTTATTTATTTTTTCAATTATACATTTAAGTTTGTAAAACTCAACACAAGAGTAAATATACATTAGAAAAACAATTGTGCAAATTTCAAATTGCATTGTTTGAAATAACATAAATATTTTACTAAAACATATTTTCACATTTACTTAATTTCACAAAATATATAAAATTTAACAGAAATAAGGCATGAATTGTTTTATTTTTAAAACCTTTTTTTAACAACTAGAAAAAGATTCTAAACTTGAGAAGCAAATTAGAAGAGGTATCAGCCTCAAAATAATAGCAGCAAAATAGATGCTGAAAACTTTTTTAAAAGAGTGAAAGGGGATGAGAGAAGCAGGTATCAGACACAATGGTGCAGGCAAGTCTGCCAAAGGAAGAAATACAGATTGAGAACTGGAAGCATGAACTCCAGGAAGAGCATCCCAAAACCAAGATCCAAGCCATCAGTATGATAACAGTACCACATTCAGGATATCAGAAAACAAACTGGCATTGAGAGCAGCACATGTTTTTTGGACAACTACAGTGTAGCAGAAGAGAGTTGCTTTGGCTTCAGAACAAAACCCTAGGACAAGTTTGGTGGTTTTTTTTTTATGTCTGTTGGAGGCACTTCCTTCCATATGAGTTGGCTATGGGAAGATTCAGATTTCCCATCACACATGTACGCTAGTAAAGGTTGCTTCTAAAATCATGTATCTTTCCAGTTATCTTGAGATTTGGGACAGGATCCAAACACTGGGCTAAGCATGCTAAAGGGACAGACCATGGCTGGTCTTGTTTCCGACTGCAGCGTGCTGAGGATCTGCAAGCACAGCCCCTCTCTGTCCAACAACCTCACAGGGGGGACCTCAAGCCTTGACAAGCTCTTGAAGGATAACAACACATGCAAGGAAGCTGGCAAACCAAAACATGTTTCTTTACACATCCTCACCAGTTCCAACTACAGGTTGCATCAGCCTGTCCTGGAGGAACTCTCCCAGGGTAGTCTTGCTTTGACGGGTGCCAAAGCAGAGGGCTCCTGGACCTCCAGCAGTTGCTGAGTCTCCCTGCCTGGTACCAGGAGGGCTGTGGAGAAAGAGACAGAACTGAAAAGTTCTTTGGATTCAGAGGCTTCAAACTTCCCCCTGGGAAGCCCGAGAATTAAATATGGCATTATAGGAGCCTAGTCATGAAAGACAGCTCTGTGCAGAAAGCAAACTGTACTTCTCATCAGTTCACGTATGCAGTGTTTATAGGAAGTAGATATTTATTCCCATTCTTGGAAATAAACAGGAACAAGAGCAGACAGCTTATATTTCCCCTCCTCCCCATGCTTTCAGGTCTGTTAAGTGTTGTGGACGTAGCACCATTTCAGTTATGGAAGCAGCTGGTATCATTTTCTTGTTTGTCACCAGCTCTTCCTCTCCGCTAGCCGTAGATCTGCTTGAACTGGTAGCATTCGTTGCAGTAACCATTGCACTTGGCATTGCCATAGTGATCGCACGCAGGCGCTCGGCAGCGTTGCTTTGGGGTCTCCTCTGCAGCTGAGTCCCTGGGACTCCCCGACTGCACGCGCTGGCTGAGGCGCCGACACTCTGGGCACAAATCGTCACTTCGGCCGGCCAGGTTGTTTCTGCACGAAGCCCCACCACACTGTCTCTTCTGGCTAGTCACTGCTGCTCGCTGTGAATCTCTGTGCTGTCCTATTCTCTTGAAAAATGTAAAAACATGGTCAGTGGCAATGTCGGCAGAACAAGTGGCTTATAATTTACTTTCAACTCTGCTAGTGTTTTATATATGCAACCACTAGGGGATGTCAGCAAACACAGAAAGCAAACGCCATTGCAGAGTGCAAAGGCTCCGGCAGTTCGCTTTGCAAAGCAAGGTGCAAAACTCATATTCAAGCTAGCAGTCTTTTCATCTCCCAGATTCACACTCCATGCTTCTTTTAAATAGTACAAGGCACAAGCCAAGCCTGGTTTTACCAAAGAAAATCATGCTCTGCACAGCTCTACAAGCGGGAATGAAATCCTCTTCCCAACTAGCAAACACACTAACTGTTGGTCCAATCGCCTCCACTGGGGTTGCAGGTAAAATTCCAGCTGAAGCAAAACTGAATGCAGCATTGACAGCCCTAAATTGAGAACAACCTCTACAAGCGCTGCACAGCTCTAACAAGTGGAATCATGAGATACTCTATACATATCCTTCCAGGATACTTAAGATGCAGCAATTCAAGGGTTTTCTATTATACATTTGGAGTTGTTCTCACAAGAGAAAAAACAGGTGGTGTTAAGTAACTGGAAATTTTTCTGAAGTTCACCTACTTGTGTCTGTCTCACGAGCTGTTCTTCTGTCCTCCTGGCTTCTTGAAATCGCTGGTTCTGGGCTTTAATGAAACAGTTCTGGCAGTAGCCTTCCAGCATGGTGCTCCCCAGGGTGCCACAGTCTCTCCGCTGGCAGGATACCGTGTTGTGGAAGGCGGCAGCGGAGCTGCCAGACTGCCCCGCTGCCGAGGAATTCCTCTGAGACCTCCTCTGGTGCCGCAGTAAAGCACTGTCTGTAATGCACAGTAAGGAGAAATGCTTTGAATACGCCCAGTAGATCTGACCACTGAAAAACAACTATGAGAAGCTCCTTAGTTTAAAATGAAAAAAGAAAAAAAGAAAAAAATTTACTAGCCTCAAACACTGGTTTTGGACCCCTTAAGAGGAGTGTTAAGACTTGCTCATTCAATGCACTTTCTTTAATGTTACATAAATGGTAACATAATGGTAATTGATAATAGCGTGCTTTTTACATGAGAAATTGTTGAAAAACCCGATTTGTGAAAATCTGGCCCTCAACATGAGAACTGTGATCCCCCAAAAGTCGAAAGAAATTTTGTCACTGGTTTCTGAGCGCTGACTGTGATCTGTCCCCTTTGCTCTGCCCAGTCACAATCACATTGGGTGAAATGGGTAGAGTGACACACAGTTTACTGGGTTAAACTGTCTTATGTTTTTTAGTCTCATGATCTTACATATTCTATAATAATAAGGAAAAAACATGTGAACAACAATGGAAAATAAGATATTGCAAGCTGGCACAGAAGTTCCCCAAATTAAAAGTATGTGTCAAGTGCAGTATTGGCACAGTTGCCACCAATGAACCAGTCTGACGGGTTAAGCAAGAGTTCTCTTGTACATATACCTGCCACCTACTGTACCTAAGGGCTCTTGGCCTATGTAACAGGGCAGAAGGGTGAAGATTTCATGCCATGCTTTATTTGCAAGCTATTGCCTTTCTGAAGTCCTGCCTTCATACATACCCACATGCATATACCTGGTGCTACCAAGAAAGAGCTCAAGGTACATTTTAACAAACATACTCTAAGTTACACCAGAATACGCGCTATCTACAGTCTTATATGCTCTGTTTATCAAGGTGACATTGGTAGTTATCAGTAGTTACATCAGATACATCCAGATTTAATGCAGATTCCAAATTAATCTCAATATCTTCTGAAGGCACTGTAAACATACTGGACTTTTTAATAGCACCAATACAATACCATTACTTTCTTTTAACCTGTCTAGATGTGAACAAGCTTAATCAGAAAAAAATTATACCAAAACATTATTGCGGCAGATGGCTGGGAGGGACCAAAACTCAAGCCACAGAACCACAGATTCACAGAATGCTTAAGGTTGGAAGGGACCTTTGGAGATCATCTAGTCCAACCCTCCTGCTCCAGGGGATATTGGACTAATAACCAACCCCATATCGCTCTAGTTCAGATGCAATGACAAACAATGTTCTTCACAGATTTACCACACTGTCACTGTGTGCCCCTTTATAGAACAATAAGGGCCAAGAAGGTACAGTCTCCTCACATGCTCTAGTTCAGATGCAATGAAAAACAATGTACTTCACAGATTTACCACACTGTCACTGCGTGCCCTTTTACAGAACAATGAGGGCCAAGAAGGTACAGTCTCCTCACACTGCTGCTTCTGCTCTACACAATTTCCACCAGCACCTGCCCTTCCAACCCCTGCATGTACAGCTCCGTAGCTTCATGAGTTCTACTCGAAGCCAAAGTGTGACAAAGCTCACAACATCTCCGCTTACCGTGGTTTTCCATGTACTCGAAGACCTCTGATGGCACGTGGGCAGAAAACTTGGGCTGCCGTTTGAGGAACGCTCTGTAGTCCTTTTGAAACAAGTGCTGCATATGCCATTAAAGGTCCTGTTGGCCTTCTGAAAGCACACCTTGCATGTCGCGTAGTCTAAATGGCCTCGGTCATCCAATTTGTTACGAGAACCAAGCTGCCTGCTGTTGTAGCAGCGTTCGCAAAGTCCGTTGTGGTGCACATTTAACGTAAACGGGCAGTCTGGAGTCCTGCATTTCATGGCAGTGGTTTCGCTGTACAGGAAAGGGCTCGGAGCAGTTGGAGGTGCAGAGCGAGGCCCTGTTATGGGCTCTTCCAATGTCCATCCTCCAGGCTCACAACCTTCCCCACGGGAAGAGCCGGATCCAGTTGCCCTTGGTTTCTCAGGCGCCGTTTTGGACATCTGCTTTCTTCCTTTACCTCCTTGTGATCTCTGCTCAAAGCACTCATGGCAGTAGGGCTGGGTGTTCACAGACATATAAAAAGGGCAATTTGGAGTTTCACATTTCACCTTTAAGAGGGACAGCTGAGAGAAAGAAAATTCCTGTCTGTTCCTGGTGCAGGCCTCTCTCCTAGCAGGTTCACTGTTCTCCTGCCATTTCTTGTACTCATGCTGTACCAGCTGCAAATAATCTTCCACCAGGTTTATTTCTTTGGGGAGGTTGCCTTCATCTAACCTAAAAGACAGAAAAGTAAGACTCTCAGTGGTTGAAATGGGCAGAAGGTGGGGTTGGAGGCAAATATGAGCAGTGTGGGGAGGAAATGTAGATTTAAAGCACATCCATATTACTCAGCTAAAAGATCCAGGATGTCAGGCTGTTGCTTTAAATGGAAATAATTTTAAATGCAGGTGTTTAGTGATGTCAGACGGAGACTTTCACATCTAAAGAAATGGTCCGATACAATGCTAATCAGAAGTATTCTTAAAAGGGTTTTCAAGGTAAGGGTTTTCAGTCTGTGGGAGTTATTTGCAGGCAGAATATGAATAGTCTCTAAAAAGTAAAAAGAAAAATCCCCCAAACCTTAAATTCCTCTGTAGATCAATGCTCAGACAGGCTGAGGTCAGAGTAGAACCAGTCCATACTGGTGAAAACTACTGAAAACAAATTTTTCCTACAGTGGACTTAATATTTCATGATGCAGTTAAATCAATATCCACTTCTGATTTTGCCTCTGTTGGGTCTGTAGCTCAAAACAGACTTAGTTTCAGTCTTATAAATCTCAGGACATCTTTGGCTGTACATTTGAGACTGGTTTGAGTTCATACTCCTTAAAAGCACATCAACAGTGATGTTAATAATCATGTGTGCTAATGTGAATGGAAGGACTGAAGGAACCCACGAGGCTATCCAGCTTCTATCACCATTACAAATAGCATAACTTTAAGGAAAGAAGAATGACACTCACTTTGCAGCATTAATTAGAAGAGTTGTACCATGATCCCAGCCTTGCACTGGAATTTCTATTACTATCAGGTAGTCTTTTAGCAGCTTCTCTTTTTCCCTGTCCTCTGCGTCTGTCAGAAAGTGCACATTCAAGTCCTCAAATCTGCCTCGTTCACTGGTGACCAAAGGGACAGCCCGGATTTCTGTGTGAAAACAAAAAGGGTTTATACATATATATATATATATATATATATGTTTTACCAGAGAGGGGTGGCGACAAGATGCCAAACATGGAGATGTCACCATTGCCGCTGAATTCTGCAGAGACAAAAGAATGGCTGGCAAGAGCAGCCAGTTTCTAAACAGTGCAGCATATCTGCACTGCAAATCCAGCTCCACCCTATTGAAGTCTTGATGTCCCCACAGCATCTTTCTTGTTAGTGTAGGCAGTATTGTAGATCTGAGTTCATTATAGTTTATTATACCTTTTCACAAGGTGATGCCCTAACCTGGGCCTGGAAAAATGTTATCCCATGCAGAAGAGATGTATTAGAAAGCAGCCAAAGATATATATCACTATCCCTCCCAGGAAGCTGAACACAGTTGTGGGACCATGTCCTCCAAAGCTTGCTTTGTGACATGGCATGGACAGAAACCAGAATGCAATGAAGCAGAGCCTGCCCTTTTAGTGATCCCAGTTTCTGATCAGGCCAGTTGTATTATAATTTTAACTGCCATTTTGAAGATGATCTTTAGTTTCTATTCAGATATACCTATATAAAGCTTGATCTGCTTATATACTGAGAACAGATTCAGAAGGAATCTTATATTTATTTTAAGTTTAAAATGCAAATCAAAACCAGATTATATTTCAAATGCTTTATCAGCACGTAGGTACTGAAAAAGATACACAAATACCCAGATAAGGTACTTTAAAGATACCTGGTCCACTGTCCTTCAGAGTCACAAGTGGTGTAAAATGCATATTGTCATAGCCAAGCACAATTGGATATCTGTAGCATTCTTCAGCTGGCCAAAGGAGAGGCAAGTAAATCCCACCAATGTTCAGAGGAGCAAAGCTGGAGCCAGACTCTAAACTTCTCACCACTTTATCTGCAAAAGGAAGTAAAAAAACAACAGTTAAAAACTAATTCGTATATGCCATGGGAAGAGAAAGCATCAAGATGCTTGTATTTTAGAACAACTGCAGAAAGCTCCCAATTCTGAAATACATCTACCTGTAAGCAAAAACAACCAAAGAAAAGGTCTACTAAAGCATACTGTCTTTAAGGTGAGATGACTGGCTGGACAACTCACCTGCAAGGACAATGATTGGTCTTCTGAGGATGTTAGCAAGGACGAAGATGTGGATTTCTTCCAGTGCATTATAGGGAAGCCTGTTTCGAGCACCAGATGTTTCTGGAGATGTCATTTCAATGAGATATTCCCACTCCTCCTCCCAGTTCTGAGAAAAGAATCAACATCTGTCAGAAGTGTTTCTAAGACAGGGAGATCAGGAACCAATTGCAGTGCAGTGGTGCTCAAAATATGAACATTTTCCCTTCCCCTTGAAAGGGTGGGTTCCACTAAGAGTGGAACTAATGAAGCAAAAATAAAACACAGTCATCAAGGCAAATATGGACGATGACAAGGAAACAGTGTGATTCCCTTAAGCCAACTTACTCGGGTGTCATAGTGGAGCCCTGTTTCTACAAAATCCTGGGATTTAAGTGCCTCCCTCTGCCAGCGGAGCTTGAAGTTCTGTGTGTCCATCTCCCTGAGCGTGCTGAACAATGTTTTCCTTAAGACAAGGTCAATATCTTCAATACCCCACATGTACTGGGATGCAGCATGCATGAGGCAGTTTCCATCACCTGCAAAAGAAAGACGGCATTGTTTTAAATGCTTACCTCGAAACAAAACAAAACAAAGACACAGGATGTATTGCTGCACAGCACATATATCCCATGTGCGCTTCTCTCCAAGGCTTCCACAGGCAGATTTTTAACAAGAAGATCAGAGCTATGAGCTCTTTGCAGAGGAAGAAAGCAAGTTGGTCGCTTCTCCACTGTTATCCCTTCAGCAGTGGGAACAACATTAAGCTGTTGTTCAACAGTGGTGGGAAGCCTGCTCTTTGTCTATCTTTCTTTAACTTTGACTCATATCATGAACTAAATTTTGCAATCCTCTGCAAGTGACGAACGCAGCTGAGCTAGCATGACAAAAACATTTTAAAACTAAAAGAGAATGTATAAATAAGGGAAATTAGCTTGTGCCATCAGGTGTACCTTTCGTATGAGATAATGAAAAACGCTAATATACTGTAGTAACAGTAAGCCTCATGTCCTCTAATGACCACTGTATTTTAAAGCGTGGCAGTGGGCTGTACTAGATATAAGAGTTGTAACAAAACAAAACAAAACAAAAGGGACATAAAGGGAAGGATGGGTGATGTGTGTAAAGTAATTGCATGAGCATGTCTTCCTCTCAGAACATAGGCTGTGTGCTTGCTGTTAAAAATATTACTTAAGAGAATTGTTTTTTTTTAAAGACAAAATTAACACTAAGTAAATGACTATTATAATGATTTGCTAAAGACAAAATTAACATGTAATGTTAATGACTAAAGTAAATGACTATTATAATGATTTGCTTTCCATTGAGACAACTCCTTCCATTCAAAAAGTCCTCCATATTTCATGGGAAGACAGGAAAGCAATGATCTGCAGTTTTACAAATGAGGAAACAGAGAATCAAAGTAGCTAAGTAACTTGATTGAAAGGTGTTACAAAATATGCCAAAGACTGGGTCTCAAATTCTACCTCTACCCATCTTCATCAAAAAAACTTTTGAAAGAAAGACATCAAGAATCAATATTGTCACATCCTCAGATTCAAAACTAGGTCTGCTGCTTGCTACAGCAGTACATAGGTCCTCCAGTTGTTAAAACACCACAGTAATTTGCTCAGAATAGAGGACTTCAACCATGGCAAAGCTGCTAGACTTTACTCACGTGAATAGCTTTCAAAGCTCTTCCACTCACAAAGAGTTAAAATGTCAGCTTGCTACACACATTGTGAGCTCAAGTACATAATTTGTGTACTTTTGCTGGTTTTTTTTTTGTATGAAACTGCAGGGGAACATCTACAACAGCTCCTGAAAAAAAATCACTGGAAGTCCACTTAAGATTTTATAAATTGTTCCAGCTTTGTATATCAGGTTCCTGCATTTGCCTTTTGGTTTCTGAATCTTGTCTTGCAAAGGTTACTGGACATCTGCCAAATGCATATTTGAGCTCCGAATTAGGGAATTGCACATAACACAGAAAAAATGACTAGGTTTCCTTCTGACCAAGAAGGATGACATATTAATCCCATTAGAGTTTTCCCTTCGCAAAATCTAGAGCAAAGATAAGTTTTTTTTTCTTTCAGAGCTTGCTTTCAGTTCTTTATTGAGAAGCACTGCGCAAAATTCCTTACACAGCACCCGGAATTCCCCAGCGCTCTTTGACTAGCAGTTGAGCAACAGTTGTACTTTTTGTTCTGCCCTGCGCACGGCTCAACAGTGCAGGCTCCGCTGGACTTTCCCAGGGGGTGTGGCTGGGCAGGCTGGAATGAGCGCCTATTCATTATACAAGTGAAATCTCTACAACCAATAGATGTTGGAATTTTTTGATTTTTTTTAAAACACAGTTTCAATTTTTATACTCCTACTTCCTTCCTCCTATCCTCCATTCACACATCTGCAAATAAATATGGTGTCGTTCAAGGTGGCTTTTTTTTTAGATGTGCAACAATTCTGTAAATTCATGCACACGTTAGGTAAAATCCACATTAATAAAACGCTAAAAGTTTTAGGATATAATATGCTTTTAAGTTTTCAAAAATTGCACCCTTCATTGGGAAAAGATAGACATTTCTGGAGAAAGCCCATCTTTGACTAAAAAAGATATATTCCTCCCACATTTACCAGCCACGTTAACCAGCCAAGTGCTTCTAAAAATATTCTTTATGTCGTATGAGGGGGAAAAAGGCCATCCTTTCCACTGATTTGAATAATGTTGCTTCCTGGGATATTACATGTTTTCTACAGGCTTCTATCCCTGCTCTCGGTGACCCCTTCTGTCAATCCACCGTTTAGCTTCTCATCCCTGCAAAGGTCCTGAGCCATGACTAATTTACATTAACCACAGGTTCCCAAAGCCACCCCTCTATACGCGCACTTAATGACTCTGAAGCACTGAACTGAAGCCAAGTTCATCACTGGGGAGTGGGGGTGTAGGGAGGAGACAGAGAAACAACCCAACCCCTTGCTTGCGTTCCCTAAACCACCTGAATATTTCAGTATCATAAATGTTGGGACACCTACTCATGGATGGGATCCAGGTCACCAATTCATAAGCTACTCCCATTTGTAAACACCCTTCTACAGTCATGAAGAAACATGCTGGATCATATTCATTGAATATTGTGTCACCACCAATAAGGACCTGTTCAAGCAATATTAATCCCTGCAGAACACAGATTAACATTAGTTCTGGGATTCCAAAACTCTTGTTCTTTGCTCAGGGCAAAAATTACATGCATTGTCTATTTGCCTAGTAAATCTGTTAAGAGTGCATGTGTTGGAGTGACATCAGCCCAGACTGATGTTACTTCCACAGCAACCGTAAAGCATTGCCTGCCCTACCTGCAACTCCAGTCCTTCTAGAAGTTTTAGATTATGCAATATTTGTGCAGATTAAAATTTGAGAATTTTAGGCAAGTGAAGGGGCAGAAAAGCCCACCAACAGGTCAGTGCCTCTGTGACAATTACAGAGATACAGATTTGGATTGGGTTCTTCAAGGCCGAGCCAATCACCTCTATATGGTAGGTCTATTTTTTAATGGTTCCTGTAAAACACAATTGCATGCAATCAGACTACGAAATAAGAAATCAGACTAAGAAGTTGGGAATGTGGTCTGGGAAGTTAAAGGCAACATGTATATAAATATGTAAGAGAAGACCATATCCAAAGAACATACTGTAAAGGTCCATCTGTCCTGGTATTTCCACAATCAAAAGCATCTGATCCTTGAGCAAAGAAGATACATTTTCCATATTTTGGAGTCTTCACTGCCCCAGTCTATCATCTGCTCAGTTTGGAGCACTCACTGCTGTAGGGACTCCTGAGACCAAGCTTGCAATTGCACGCTCATCAGTCATTCAGGGACCATCTCACTGAATGTGAGATGTCCAGTGGTCCTCACAGTCTGCTGCAAAAGTTACCTGCTCATGTCTACATGTACCTGCTTCAAGACATCTTTGTACTACAGCTGTACCCTTTTGGGGTAGCTGTTTAAGGTACCTGACAAAACACACAATAACAAAGTAACCCCGAAGGAAAGTTCTAAAACTGCACTGACCCTCGAAAGCAAAGGGCACTGCACACTTCTTGTTACATAAACCTGGTTGTCATTTGCACACACCGGAATTAGGGCTGAGCCCTGAGGGAAGCCTGCTAAGCCTATCAGCTAATTGAGCATTAGTTAGCCCAACGGTGCAGGTGCTGATGCCTGTCAGCAAGGTCAGTCTCCTTGAGGCTGGAAGCCCAAGACTCTCCTGCTGACACAGTGGCTCCAGCTGGGATCAACCTCTTGGATGGCTGCAAAGGCAGGGGTTATAACCAGGTATTGACTTCTCTAGATACAGGGGAATATATCCCTGTCACTCAAGGCATCTCAGCTCTCCTCTTGCCTGACCTCAGGGGCCATTCAGCACTTTGAAGAAGGCAGCCGACACATAACAGTGTCAGATTTATGGAAAGGTGATGGATTGTAAGACAAGGTTCTCACATGATATTATATGCTCACATGCCACAGGTTACTAATATTATAAAAACATCTCTTTAATTTTCAAGCTATTCATAATACTGTGATAAATGTAGGGGACTGCCAGAGACTCATGACAATATGCCCTGTGGAAAGACTTTAGGATCACTAAGTCAAAATGTAAAGGAACTTTTTTTTTTTAAAGCAATGTGCTTCTGTTTCAGTAATGTAAACTCAGACACTATTAATAAAGGTGATACATTCTTACTGCCCTTTTTAATGCCAGTTCAAAGGCCAGCTTTGAACTTACCATTAGTCTTCAAAGGCACAAGTTTCCTGACTTCCATGCACCAGTTCAGTTTCCTTTGGCGCTCTAGTGAAGCCTGCGTGGTCTGGTCAGTCAGGGCCTTCTGAAGTAATTCCCGAAACTGAGGGCAAAACTGGCACATTCTGAACATTTCTATGGTGTATCTGTGCATAGTTCTGAAGTGGTGAATTATTCCACCGGGGGATTTGACCAGATCTTCAGGTGCTCTCTCTCTAATCTTCACAGCTTTCAGCATATTGCTATGATATAAAGCTTGAGGAAGGATGTGCTGGCCAGCCATGTTCCCAGAAGAAATCTGAAATGAAGAAAAAAGGGATTTTCTTATTTACATTTCATTGGTCATGATCAAAGTGCTATCACTTCTAAAAAAAAAAAAAGTGTACTTTCTCATTGCAGTTTTGGCTAAAAAGTGTACCGAGTGGACTCAGTCCATGTGGAGCGTATATAGATAATGATTTTTATAGCTCGTATCCAGACATCACTCTGCATTACTCAGATATAGACTCTGAACAGCTAATCCTAATCATTTTCTTTGATCATTTACTCTGATATTAAAGAGAATTTATTCATAATGAACCAAGGAAATTGTATCGCTGTTAAAAACAGGAGTCTGCATCAAAGTAAGGATAAAAGAAGGAAAGATCAAGGGAATGGAAAATTACCTTAGAGACTTGACTAATTGATAATTGCACAGTGTAATCCCCTATGAACCTGCTGCACTTTCAGCATGTTTCAAGCTTTTGTTTTGATGATATGCCAAAAAAGCAGATAATGACCAATTCAGATTTCACAGCCCATACATACTGAGAAGTGATGCTTGGCATAGTACCGTACAAAAAGAGACAGTCTGGGGAATTACATGCTATGCTAGGATCTGCCCCATACTTACCGTGGCTGAAGAGGGCAAATGAGCAATTTGCAAGAGAGCAAGCACTGAAGGCCAGATTTATGCTGCTCCTCTCAGGCCTCCTTATAGAATGAGAACATTTTACCTGCGGCACAGAGGTGCCCTGCAGTTTGTGGGGGTGCAAACGGCAGTCCCACTATTACTCAACGATAAGTCTACAGAGCTGAAAAAGCATTTCCACCTGGCTCAAAAACCCCAATATTTTTCCGCGGTAGGACCAGTAATGCAGGCTGGCCAGCATCACTTTTTTCAGTACCTCTGGCCCCACTGGCCACAGCAGGAACAGCAACAACAACAAAGAAAGGTAATCTCAAGTTATCTACACCCTCTGAAATACTTCTTCACAGCACATCAACATTGTGACTAGGCAGAGCCAAATGTAGGGACTATGTCCCTCAAGAGTCCTGTGCACAACGGTAATATGACCAACAATCTATTTTCACATGGGGAGAGGCTCTCCATGCTACCCTGCGCACTACTACTCTGTTAAAAAATGCAAACTTTATTTTAAGAAAAATAAATATACGCATATCTAAAATTTAGAATTAAGTTAGTCACATTAGGAAAGCCTATCATTTTGATTATGAATCACGTAAAATATAACAGAGACTACTATCAAGCCAGCTAGTCTTGATATATATCATATTAAGTTGAAGAAGACCAGAAACAATCGAGAAATGAGCAGTGAAGCTATTAGGAAGTTGCCTTGTGGCCATGGAAGGCGAGAGGGCTGGAGAAAAGATGATGGATGATAACCTGTCAGACTGCCTGGGAAGGTGCTCCCGGGCCTGCCAACATGAAACAGCCTCTTGCCCAGGACACAAGCATGTCCCTCCACACAGGGAACTAACTACTCTCTTCTCTTCACCCACACCACTTCCACTGGCAAAATCCACCTTCAGCTGGAGCCCTGGAAGGGACTTTGCTCTTTTGCTTATCCTCCTGATAAGAGGGGACTTCAGGCTCTTCCTGCCTCTCCCAGAACCAACTGACTTAAAGAGTCCATGCACATCCTCTAAGCCCCTGAATAGAGGCACGTGAAGCATGAGATTCTGCAAAAGCAGGACAGTCCAGTGTGCCCAGCTATGTAACTCAGACAGAATTTCCTCTGCTCATGTAAGGGGCAGTGCTCCCAGGCACCACAGCTGGGGACACATGGAAAAGCTTTCCTCTAGTTAGTAAAGATTTCCTATTTTAAACATATCCCCTAGGAATACCCTGCCCTAAAATAGAATAATTTCATTTTCTCAGCTATTTCTCCCCCTCCACATAAAAATCTAGTTTTGCATATTACTGATGCAATGCTGTATGTAATTGTATGGATGCTTTAAGACATGAAATATAAACAAGCCCTTATTGACCTATTTAATAACCACGACTGTACTTTGCACAGGCCAGAATGGTAAATTTCTTAATTACATAAGGACAATCATTGAGTCAGGGGAACTTTTTGACATGAATAAAGATTAATCACACAATTAAGCACCACTGGTATGGACCCTTGAAATGGTTGTTTCCAATATTCTGTAAGCTCAGTACTTTCTGTTATTTAAGCATTCGCTGAAACTATATTATTCATTATTATATTCTATAGGCATATTTTGTCCGCACCACATGTAAAGTACGGACAGTGCCATTTACACAGTGGTTAAATATCAAACAAAGAAAAAAAAATGGACATTATTTTAAAAGATATGTGATGAAGCAACCAGAGCTTAGCAGACACTAAGATACAGAGAACAAGCAAGTCAGTTACAGTCATATTACTTCATACTGTGCTACATTTTGGTATACTACTTACTTACTTTAAGATGTAACTACTACAAATTCTCAGAAAGAAGCAATAATCACATATTAATCACAGAGTTATTCTATGTAGCATCTTTTCCCGTACACAGCATGTTGGAAAAACCCCAAATTTGGGAAATCTGGGAAAATCCATATTCCGCCCTGAGCTCTGCCAGTGACTTGCTTAAATTACTTTAATTCTGTGTCCTCTGGCTCTAACAAAGCCTTTTTGGTGAAGATCTAAGATAATATCAAACTCTAAAAACACTTATGCTTAATACATATTAACTGGAAGAGTCTTTAGCTTCCACTGATTTCTACACCCTAGTGTTTTGCACAGAAAAATAGGCATATTATAGGCATTTAAGTAAAAGAAGATTAGGATATCTGGATGTTTTATGAACCACAAGACGACCTTATACAGCCTTAACTATATAGCGTATTGGTCTGGAAGCACATACATACAACGCATACGTTGCAAATTACTGTGTGTACTAATTACTGCCAGTTTTACACAAGACGAGCTTAGCGCAGAAAGCTTTCATGGCAAGCGCCAAAAGCAAACCCACACGGCAGGAGCACTAATAACAAACCCCAGCCCCAGCGCC